CAGACAATTTCACACTCTTCTACTTATGTGGAGGTGAAATCCCCTTAATGTTCGGCTATTTCGCATTTACTTAATATTATTCTATTCTCCCTAATGGAAAAAAGAGATTCCATACATGAGATTAATTAGAGAAAGGGCAAAATGGAGACGAGCAAATACGTGAGCCTGAAGGAGCCCTTCTCCTCGCCAGGTCAAGGCCCCTCTGGCTGGTAAAGCCCATGGGCTCGGGGGCCTCCCAGTCACCACATCCCCAGCTCCAGCACAGCACCCCGCAGAGTATGCCGGATGTGCTCAGCAAATATTTGTGGAATAAATGAATAAATCGATGGCAGTTGTTTGGATTTCAATATAAATGGATCTTGGACCTGAGATATTGCCAGATGGGCAGACAGGTTACAGTCTGGCGATGCATCTCCAAGGCTATAAAAACACAGTCATTGCCCGAGTTGCAGACTGACATTTCAGAAGATGATTATATGCACAATTTAACCACGCGGCCATTTGTGTCCAAGAGTGCCATCGCTTCAACAACTGTGTTCATGTTGGCTTTCCTGCTCATCCCTTCCCCCGCTTTTTTTATATCAAGCGCAATTTTTTCCAGCCTCTCATATTTCTAGCTGAATGTGATTTATTCATACAAAATTATGCTCCATTTTTATAAAACCCAAGTTACTGCAAATGATGCTTGAGGTTTTGCAGAAAATATTAATTCCTGATCTGCTGCTATAAAGCATGCCTGCTCTCCGTACAGCAGCCCTGTCGCCCTGAGACAGATGGAAGCAGTCCCAGGCTATGATTAACTTCTTAGGCCTGGCAATTTTCTCGTGCTCCTCTGGCCCTAGATTTCAAGATTGACCTCCAGCTTCTCTGCAAATGCAGTCGCTCAGCTTGATAAATCACACGAATCCCTTTTCTGATCGGAGTTATCTCCTATTTACTACGTGGGAAGGGAAGTTAATCGTATTCAAGGCACTTCGTATGCGGCACACACGCCCTTCCTTCTTCCTAACAGCAGTTTGCATATTTTCCACGTTACTGGTGATGCGGCAGCTTGTGGGGTGCAGCGTCCATGCCAAAGACACACCTTTATAAATGAACCTCACACCATTCATTTCTCTTTCCCTGCCTCTCCCTCCCAGCTTCAAATACCACCAGCCATAAGAAGGAAATGCTTTAGAGGTTATACGGGGTGAACAGGCAAGAGGGAGAGTGTCTCTTAGCAAACTGAGATGCTCTTGTAATTGGCTTGTGTATTACATCAAAAATTTGGTCACCTTGCCCTGCCCAGGACATCTGCTGTGGTCATTATGTGGGGGCATTGGTGGGTCTCTGGTAGGCCAGTTGACTCTCAAAGATATAAAACAGATGAAAAAAACAATCAATAGTCAGGAGTAGAAAAGAACAAAACCCCTCCCGTCGCACCCTCACATAACTGATTCCGTGACTGCAGGGTGGGCGCCCAGGCCAGCTGGGCTGAAGCCCATACTTGGCTTTGCTGTTTGAGATCCAGCTTCAACCTGCAATGTACTTTGGCTATTTTGACTGACCTTCAATTAACCCCCCTCCTCAGGCAAAAACCAAATAAGGCAAAAAGGATTTTTTTTTTTTGGTGGGGGGTTAAACATAGATGCTTTAAATTTTAGATAACAGAAATATCACAGTTTAAATTTTTTTGAGAGTATATATCGATTATTGATTAATCCATATAGTCTACTATTGATCAAGGCGGTATAAGGAAAAAGAACTGCACAGAAGGGTGACCTCAGAAGCAATAATGTACTGCAGACTTCAAAAAACGTGGAAGGATCTTGAATGTTTTCAACATAAATAAATGACAAATGTTTGAGGAGATAGATATGCTTAGCTTGATTTAAACATCACAACGTATGTGCGTATTGACATATCACAAAGCACTCCATATATACCTAGCATTTTCATGCTTTCATCTATCAGTTTAAAAATAAATATAATTTAAGAAAGCACACAGTCTGAACTACCAGATATCGGACGTGTGCTAGAATGTCTTTTTACAAAATCAACCAAGAATCTTTGGAGGAATGAAAAGACAGACACTATCAGCTTTCAGAGGACATCTGCACATTCTCTAATCCCAGAGGGATGACAGTCTCATCAGCCCTGAAGGAGGGAATGGGAAATGCAACTCTTTCCCTTCCCTGCAGCTGTCTACGGCGGGAAGGCTACAGCTGCCTTCCCACTAGGCCAGCTCCCGGCCTCCGCCCACCCAGTTGACCAGATCCTAGTTCATTCCCAAGATGCGCATCTTATACACCTTGTGTAAACATCTCTGTGTTCATGGGGAGTCAAGGTTGAGGGTGAATGGAGCAGATGTGCAGGACCCTGAGGCTCTGGGGTGGACGAGGAACCCTTGGTGGCCTGGCAAGAGCCAATCATGGGCTTTCCTGCCTGATCGTAGAATCACAGCACTCACAAAACACAGTTTGAGGTCTGAAAAGTGCTTTCTTTTTCTAGGATAAATATAAAAGTACTGCCAAATCTTTACGGAATTTTAAGAAAGAGGTGATAATAGGCTGAAAACAATAATATTTAAGGAAACCAGAAGAGCTTATGTAAATGAACATTCAATAGGTGAATACCAGCTCTAAGCAGCCCGAGACACGAGGGCCCGGGAATCCCAGGCTTGGGGGGCCTTGACTCAGTTCCGCTCCTTCAATGGGGTTCCTCTGGCAGGCAGAATATGGGGCAAGTCACACAGGGGCCTGACCCCAGGTCACACTGATCAGCTTTCCAGAAAATACTGGTTTATTTGAAAGAGTAAGTAACATGGCAGAAAATGACATCTGTTACTTGTTAAATTAATGTTCTTTATTTAAAAAACTAGAAAATATGAATCCAATTAATTCAATATTTAATTTAAAAAATTAGGTGTTTTTGAGTTATTATTTTGAGAAAGAGTTTGAATTGTTTCTTCAAATGACTATAAATGCTATCTGCTATGGAAGTTACTTCCATAGCCCTGGATTAGCAGAAAACAGAATAAACACAGAGAAGACAGCCTCACCCAGCTGCAGGATTAGAAGAGCAGGCAAAGCCAATTCATCTGAAATGAGCCACGTTCCCCAATTCTGAACAGCAGTGAAAATACACCTTATTATATATGAAGTTAGAGAAATTGAGAAGAGTAGTGACCATGGAGCCTCTGTTTCTGTGCAGGTAACAGGTTTGGCAAGAGGTTCAAGTGAGAATATCAGAAAAACTCAAAGGGAATACATTGCTCATCATTAAAACACACCCACATTTCCTACCCACCATGAAGTCATGTATCATTTGGGAAGAAGCTTTTGAATGTAGCTTCTGAGAAACCGTCTTTATATTTGCAACCATGTCTTTATTTTCGTAAAATAATTTTTGGTTCCTTCTACCAAAGTTCATAATGGCATTTTTTTTTTCTTTTGAGACACAATCTTGCTAAGTTGCTCAGGCCTTGCTAAGTTGCGGAGGCTGGCTTTGAACTTGCGATCCTCCTACCTCAGCCTCTGGAGCCATTGGGATTACAGGTGTGAGCCTGGCTATTGACCCTAGAGCCCTGTTCATAATGGCATTTTGAGTGTAAATTTCACTTATCTAGAGGGTGAAATTCAATTTTTTTTAGTATATTAACGGGGTTGTGAAAAATCTAATCTTTTAACATTTTTTATTGCCTCCCCCAAAGAAACCTCGTGCTTGTTAGCAACGATACCACATCATAAACGAGGGGCTTTGCCTTGCTTCCCAGTGAATTTCATCGAAGGAACTGCTGACTTACAAAGAGAAGTCAAAAGGAAACAAGACATATGTCTAGGAAGAGAATTCTTGTGTCATTCCCTAAATGAGTTTTGATCCAGTGTCTCTCTTCCTCCCTACCCACAGACTCCAAGGCTCCGTCATCAGCTTTTGTGAAAAATCCCAAAAGCAATTCCAGAAGACCACGTGCCTGTCACTCTTGGAACAGGTGGGCTTGTGTGGTTGTCATGGGGAAGGCTTTTCACCTGAAATAAACACGCTCAGGTTCAGCCTGCCACCCGAGAGGAAAGAAAAGCTCTCACCCATGTGCACCAGGTGGTTCTTCTAAGTGACAGGTTTTACCGTGAAGAGGCACTGAACTGACCCGACTCCCACAGTCAGTGATTGCTCATTCCACATAAAAGGAGCTCCGGAGAAAGGGAGGGAGGGGTGAAGGCTCTCTGGACAAGGCTGGGGGCCAGGGGAAGGGGACATCTCCTCCCACTGTGTCTAGCACTGCATGTACTTCCCTTGTGGAGACACAGTGGGCCTGATCTTCACCACACACACCCACACCCACACCCACACCCACATACACACCCACACACCCCTTAGGAATCAAAACCAAAATCAAACTCCCAAAGAGGTTGATCTTAATCTAGAAAGCAATTTACATATTCCTGTTTGACCACCTCTTTGCAGCCTTTTAGGCAAACCAGGATGTCAACCGCAGTTTGTGTCTTTTGATGAGATTTATATGCATCTCATTCAATAACAAAGGTCAGGAGAAACAAGAGGCAGTAGAGAGAGAAGTCTGGTGTGCAGGACCATGAGCGGTGCACAAAGTCCTTTAAGAAAGACTCATCCAGAGACAGATCCCTCCCCGTGAGATGATATGGAAAGAGTGAAGAAAACACCTCACGATAAATGAAGTACTTATTGCTGAAAAATGAGCTCGGATCCCAACCAATTCCAAAGTTCAGGATTTACAGCGCCATTCAGGTCTTCCCCCCTAAGTTTCTTCTCTCTTGTTTCATTGCACAACGAGGGATTCTTCATACTTTATGTGAAATACAACGAGGCGATTTTTGCAGTAATAAACTCCACACATGCATGACAGATCGAGGCATGCAAAATGTTTAACATCCCAGTTCACAGATACTTTAGGGACAAAATCCGATTATGAATTATATGCCACAATAAATAGGGCTCGATGTTTCATAAAGCAATTTATAGTTCATAAAAATGACAAAATGTACCTGTCAGGCAGAGCGCGGAGAGCTGTTCTCTGGGTTGCCTGCTGGAAGAAAGGGCAGAGATGTTTATTTAATATTCTGACTTTTAAATTATGTGCTTGATCAACACTTAAAAAAAACCTCTGTTACACACATTTTTGTCATGTGGCCAAATTTTAAACTACTTAGAAAGCCCTGTCCTGTTACGAAAGGAACATTCTTGAAGCGTTAACGGAGGCCTTGGCAATGCGCATCTGCCACCAGGGGGCGAGCTTGGGGAGGCGCCAGACACCTGACCTGGCAAAGAGCAGAACTATTTTGTTCTTACTCCCTGAAGCCATTTTCCCATTGCTTTATTCCCCTTCCCTGTAAGAAAAAAAGCTCTGTTTGATCTGTAGCATTTTTCCCAAAGAAGGTGTAATTTTTGACTCATTTTTCAAATCTATTGAAAACATCTCTCCAGTTGTAAAAATGGAGGGCTGACTGGAAATCTAAAAAAACTACTAATTTTTTTTTCAGATATAGTAATGATATTGCGACAAATTTTGAAAGATCTTTTTTTTTAGATATTTACACTGAAGTACTTATCAATAATATGATATGATGTTGAGATCTGCTATAAAACAATATAGTGGGAGGAGGGGAAAATTGGTGGCATATTCATGAAGCAAGATGGTCCCAGGTAGATAGCTGTTGGACTCAGGTGATGAGCCCACTGTGGAGTCAGTATGTGATTCTGGCTACCTTTTAAATCTCCTTTTTTTTTCAGTTTCTTTAAAAAAAAATCTTTTTAGATCTACAGGACAGTAGAGTGTATTTTGACATGTTATACATACATGGAGTATAACTTCCCATTCTTGTGGTTGCACATGATGTGGAGTTACGCTGGTTGTGTATTCATATATGAACTAGGAAAGTTCTGATCCAGTCTACTGTCTTTCCTATTCCCAGCCCCCGTCGCTTCCCTTCATTCCCTTTTGTGTAATCCAATGAACTTCTATTCCCGCCCCTCCTTATCGTGAGTCAGCATCCCCATATCAGGGAGAACATTCATTCATCCTCTGTTTTTTTGGGATTGGCTTATTTCACTTAGCATGATAGTTTCCTGGCTATTTTTTTTATGTGAAAGAATACAATTTCCATTTTATACAGAAAATGTATTATTTTTTATTTTTCATTTATTAAAGTGATAGGATGTATGTGTGTGTGTTGAAATCTTCCATAGTAAACAAATAAAATAATAAAAAAGACTTCCATTTTTCTATCGAGACACTCCCAGTTGTGTGTGCACTTTCTTTTTCTTCTTGCCGACTCTAGTTCTCATTCATTCGTCTTCCACCTCAGGGCACTACCAGGGCAAGGAAAGAAGTGGGTCAAAAACCCCACAATTTGGAAGCCATGTAAGCAATGGACCAAAGGCTGAGACCTCCTCGGGGTGCACAGGTGGTCAGGAGCGAGCACACAGGCCATTCCTCCTTGCCTGGCACACATGTCCAGGTCACTGGTTACCAGGGACACCTGATACAGCCCATGCTGCTCCCCCATCACAGTCAGAGAGCAGACAAGACAGACAGACTCTTTAGATTAGAAGAACGATGTGGCAGAATCCTTCTTCCTGTTGCACACAACAAGCATATCCTGGGTGGTAGCTCCGTGTCCTTGGATTAGTCCACTAGTGGAGCATTTGCTGAATTCCTATGTGGAGATGACCATACTGAGCTCCAGGAGGGACACAAACAAAAATAGAAAGGGCCATTGTCTTGGAGAAGCTCGCTCCCTGGGCGGGACATCAGGGTAAAGGCCGAAGGGTGCCGTGGACACACTTCTGACACAACACGAAAATAAAAGATTATGGTGGAGCAGGGTCGGGAAAGGGCAGATAGGAGTGGAAACTAGTGACCGTGGGACACGCAGCTCCTCAAACAGTGCCTGGAACAGCTAGCAGGTACTCAGAGGGGCACTCATTAGATACCTGAGTCCACCAGGGAACTGGTCCCACTGAGACCTGAGCAGACTTTTAGATGGAGGAGAAGAGAGGTGGATAGCACTGGGCTAGACTGGAGAGGAAGGGGCTGCCCAGCCTCCACCGTTGGGTCTCCGCTGGGACACCCCTTACTCAACCCTGGGGTGTCCAGAACTGAGAATGCTACTTTCAAGAGGGGTCACTACTAGCATTTAGCGTCTGGGGCCAGGGATGCCACAGGCCTATAAAGATCAGGAAGGTGCCTTCTACCCTGAAGAACTGTCCCCTTAAAAATGACAAAGGGGTTTGCAATCGGGTCAACTCGGGAGGCTGATTGCAAATGCAAGGCCAGCCTTGGTAATTTAGAGATAAACTGCTTAAAAATCAAACAAACAAAAAGAGCTGGGTTTTGTAGCTCAGTGGTAAAGCGCCCCTGGGCTCAATCCCTAGTACAAAAAAAAAGACAAAAAAAAAAAAAAAAGACAAAGGGGTCTACAGCAAAGTGGGAACACAAGAAAGATCTGAAAGGAAGGCACAGGAAGCGGGAGCTTTGTGGACTGTCCAAAGGAACTGAGAAGAAATTAAGAGGAACAGCAAACGTGTGGACTGGGGGTTGAGTCTCAAATTCCAGGACAGGTCTCACCACTCATTTATTATGGGTCTTGAGCGTGGCCTCACAACCAGTGACTCAGCCCACCTGTGACTGCAGTCTGCCTTTGCCTTCTCCGGGTGGGATGCAGGAGCCCGCCAGGCAACATCCAGACTACTCCGGACAATGGAAGGATCAATGGGTTCCCTTGATCCCAATCAACTAAGGCCCCGGTGTCCTGGCATGCCAGGATCACAGCATGACTTTGAAGTAATGGAGTCATGCACAGATCTTGATGAGGACACCTGAGGCAAGGGAAAGAGAGAAAGAAGAAGCCAAGGAGCTGGGTACACCATCTCAGAGGACCCTATTCCTGCCTTGCTCCAACTCCTGGCCTGAGCTCCCCCAAGGCCAGCATAGCAGCACGTGCCCCGAAAGCACCCAGCAGATGACAGGTGGTCATCACTGTTCGCAGGGTTGTCTGCTAAAGGGCTCTCTACTTCTTCTTCTTTTTTAAATATTTACTTTTTTAGGTGTAGATGGACACAACACAATGCCTTTATTTTTATGTGGTGCTGAGGATCGAACCCGGGTCCCGCCTGTGCCAGGCAGGCGAGTGCTCTACCGCTGAGCCACAATCCCAGCCCCTAGAGGGCTGTCTTCTTGCTCAGCAAGACAGCTTTCACTTTTGGCTGGGATGCTTGGGAAAAAAACAACAAACAACCAAAACTTAAAACTCTCTACTTCTGACTGCTGGGCTAAATACACAAGAAGTATTCCAACTCCCCCAAAGAAAGGTGGAATGTATTGTTAGCAGGATCTCTTAACATTATCTCCACTGGAGGCACAGGAGGTGGGCTTTTCTTGGAAGAAGAGAAATCTTAAGAGATGTGACTACAAGTTCAGTAGAAGCCTCCAGCAAGGCCCCTGAATGTTCCCCTAGCCACGGAAATAGACCAGGGCTGGCAAGTTTTTGACTGTCTGCTCCTCCTCCTAAAACTCTCCCCACTGACTTTTAGGTTAGGGAAGTACCACATGTTGATGTGTACCTGTTAGAAAGTGATTGAAAAAGCAAAAGCTAACCAAACAAAAAATAAGAAACTCTGCACCCCACCACCTCTGGAGGTGCCTATGAATCAATGCACCACCTGGGGGTGGTGGTAACAGCTGAGAACAACTCTGCAGGACCCATGTTGGCCATTGTGGAACACAAGCTGGGCTGGAAGCCTGCAGCAAGGGCTGCTTTCCTTTAGCAGACCTGCATGATGCCTGCTGGGACCAGCAGGTCCTTCTGGGCGTAGAGACCTGGCCTCCCACCAGTCACTGAGCACTGACGTCTGGGAGTTTCTCCCCTCTCATCTGTCTCACCACGGTGGTACTTAGCGCCATCGATTGCCAGCATCGCTATTTTTAATGCCCTATTTTCAGTGTGCTACTTAATTGCCAGTTATTCTACATCATTAAAAACTTTACTGAGGACAGCTCATCACCCATTAAGAAAGGAGATGAGCATACGTAAAATGTTTTAAACCATTCCTTGAGAGGGAAAAAACAAAGCTGCTAACATTAGATTAAAACTGTATGCTATATACCAAAGCCAAGATCTTTTTTTCTAGCTCCTTCTCGTTAAAAAAGAACCTTCAGCTTTTGCCCTCAATTTTTATTTACTGTTGGAAAATAATATAAGAAATAAACATTGAAATTAAAAAGCCAAGAAGAAAATTACTTAGGTGACTCATGATTAAAGCCAGAAAAACTACTGATTGTAAACTAGATGAATTGCCCAATTTCATTCCTTCAAGAGTTGTATGTTACAGCAACCGTATTTTTTCTTTTGAAATCTTTCATCATCTCTTCTTGTAACTTTCTTTTTATTCAGTCCTCAGCAAATCTGGTTGAGAGGGTTAAGAGAATACTTCACGATCTACCCCGAGTTCATTACTCATTCATGTATGACTGTGAAGATCAAGTCTATGAGACAAAACAAGTTTTCTGCCAAAAACAGTCATTTTCTAGGCTCTCCTCAACAGATAACATCTTTTCTCTGTCCTTATTACCATGAGTTTGGTGCTCGGGGACGTAATCAGTAGATATTCAGGATTCCATGTGTGCTCAATGAATTACAAGTCACAATCTGTTACGGAAGGCAAATCAAAGAGGAAATTAAATGGCCTTGTTGTAACTGGGTTGAGCACAGAACAAGTTCATGGATATTGGAGTGGGGAGGAAAACAAAGAAAGAGGCTGAAATTCAGAGACTTTCCAGAGTGACCTGACTTCTTTCTTTCTTTTTAGTACGGGGGATTGAACCTAGAGGCTTGAACACTGAACTGCTTCCACAACCCTCTTTTGGGTTTTTAATTTAGAGACAGGATCTGGCTGAGTTGCTTAAGGCCTTGCTAAATTGCTGAGGCTGGCTTTGAACTTGTGATCCTCTTGCCTCAGCCTCCCCAGCTGCTGGGATTACAGAAGTGGGCCACTGCGCCTGGCCTGACTTCTTTCCTGATGGAAATA